GCATGAAATGACAAAGAAAGTTCAACATAACTGAGATATTCCTAATCAGGTAAATTGAGTCATAGGGGAAGTGAGTGTGGTAATCAGTTAGAGATTGCACTTTTTGTATCTTTGTGTATTAGGGATTGTGTGCTCTTATGTTGAAAAGAAAGGGAGAGTTAACAGAGAGAGAGACTGTTCAACATAGTTCTGACTGCTGGCTGCTTTCCTGGGGATGGTCACCCCAATCTATAAAAATGGCAACAAATCAGACCCTAATAACTATAGAGGGATCTGTGATAGCCGCAGCCTTTGGAAAATATTCTGTAGTATTCTAAAATCTAGGATACTCGCCTTTATCCAAGAACAAAAATAAACTCAGTAAATGTCAAATTGGCTTTCTTCCAAAATATTGAACATCCAACCATATAGGTACACTTTACACATTTTAATTAAAAAACACGTTCTCCAAAAAAAAGGTAGGGAAAATATTTGCTTTTCTCTTTATATAGTATATGATCTTATTAAATGTACAGACACAACCAGTGGGCTGTGAAAATTAACAATAAAAGTACTTCATATTGTTGGACCGTTCAGCAGCTCCAGGCCTCACCCTCTTAGATACAGGGTTTAGATACCTGCTTTATGCAGATGACCTTATTCTGTCCAACCAGAGACAGTCTTCAACGTAACCCTACCATCCTGGAACAATACTGGCTTAAGTGGATCTTGGAAGTAAGTTTCAAATAAACCCAAATCATGATTTTTCAAAAATATTTGATTGTGTAATTATACCAATAACTTTGTATGTAAGTGAGATCTGGGGCCGGCTCAGAAAAACCACCTAATTCTGCAGTTCTTCTCAGGTCTATGGAGCGTTTTTAGGCCATCTCTCAGCTCCCCTGTTTTAAAGTTTTCCAGTACACATCTTTTTTGTTTTGGTTCACTTTCACCTGCTCTCATTGTTTCCAGATGCAAGCAGGCAAGGCTGTTTTCTGTGAAAAAGCCCCAATAAACCTACTGTATGCTACATGTCCAGCACCAAACATAAAACAGACAAAGTCAGAGACAAGCATGTGAGTACAGGGGACCATTCAGCAGCTGAAGATATTTCAGGAGTTGGTAGAAATCAAAACAGAGCTTAAAGTGAATATTGGACTTAGGTAATTATTTTTCTCACTTGTTAGCCAACGTGTAATAACCCAATAACTTTATAGGGTGATAATATGTCAATGTCGTGTTTCCAGTTTGTTTTTGTTTTGTTCACACTATCAATTGAAATAACTGAATAATTGACAAAAAACTGAAAAAGGAAACAAACAACATAAAAAATGTATGTTATGTTTAGCTGTATTTTAAGTCAGTTAAGAGTCATAGCTTCAGTGCTGTGTTCAAAATTCTGGGTGACTCCTCCATTTGAGAGTAACTTAACTGAAAATCTAGTCTTGGTGGACTGCCAGTGGTTTAACTTCACAATCTTAGCGGTGATGTATAGGTGTACTCCAGGA